TCGGGCTGAGAAGCCCGCGAGAGACAGGACCCAACAGAGGGTCGCGGACTTGCAATCATCCATATTGCTACGCGATCAGGCAGAGACTCCAGAGACCCTTCCGGGCTGGCCGTGGAAGGGGTGCCCCTTCGCGCCCGCCGGGCCTGATTGCCTCCTCGCTCGTCGGCACGATCGCAACGGATACGGAAGGCAGAATGGAAGCCCATGCCAAGAAACACCGTGCTGGACCCCAGGGTGCCCTGGGTTTATCGGGTTTCGATGGCTCGGTGATGGAAGCCGCGACGTTCCCACATCAAAAATCAATCGACGTCCTGGGGTCTCAGGGTCGGGTTTCCCGTGGTCGAGCTCGTCCCGTATGCCTTCCACCTCCACCTTCCATACCTTTTTTCGACCTCCGCGGAGGGTGCAGAAGCAGTCATCGAAGCTCATGGAAACCTGTTACGCCATGCAAGGAGACCCACACCGATCAGATCGGAAAAAGGGCCCGGAAGATGGGGCGGAAGGTCCGGAAGAGTGAGGGGGAGGGTGGGGGGCGAAGGCCGACACCACTTCCTTCAGGAGGGGAAGAAACACACAGACACAATTAATCTTCGATTCCCCAGAAAATATGGGAAAATATGGGCAGTGGGGGGGAAGACAAAAACCCAGAAAATATAGGAAAATATGGGGACTATTTTTATTTGTGTGTATTTATTTGTGTGTCCTAATTTCCCTTTATTCCTGCTCACTTCGAACCAGCCTCGCTGTCGGTGTCGCCGCGGATGTTGTCTGTTTGAGGCAGGGCGCCGCCTGGCTATTAACAGCGGCCGCGGTCAATTCTAGGCAGCAGTTTTTGTGTGTTGGCATCGTGCCCATCTTTTACGTACCCCCTCCGGGCGTCCAAACCCACTTCCTCTCGTCGCACGACGGGAGATTCTGGGCGATGTTCGGCCTGTGGGGGCCCTCGCCGGGCCCTGGAACAATGAAGAAAGTGCCCAGGATGAAAACCGGTCTCGGGGAAGGGGTTCCAAGCTCTGGGGGCCACCGTTGCACAGAGATCACGACGTCAGAGTTCTGGGGACAGGGGGCTGGAGTGGCCCAAGGGGGAGACATCGACGTGGAATCGGCGAAGCGTCGCCGATGGATCGGCCAGAGTAGCCTCCCAGGGGCGAATCAGCAGGTTCCTGGGAGGGGGTATCAGGCCCCTGTCGGCGATCAACAGGCGATCGGGGGTCGACGCATCCCCCCCGTAAGCCTACAGCCTGCAGCTGCCACGTCAGATATGAAGCCGACCGGCCAGCAGGTGCCCCGCTCATGCGTTTTATCCCCCGACGGCACTGGGAGCCCGCAGACGCCCTGGGGCACCTGAGGACCACTCAAAATCGACGAAGAATGTGCCCCAATATCAGTCAGATCAAGACTTCTA